TCTGCATGCTGGTAAGGATCAAAATACGGCCAATATTAGCCCAAGTGTTAGGCTACAGCGTGGGGATCATTCCAGCTAATAACGATCTGCGAATTTAGTGCAAAAACGCATGATCGCACCGGAGAGCCTGGTGCGTTCCAGCCTGGGTTTGATAAATGCTCGCTTTTTGAAAAAATGCAGATTTTCAGCTCACTAAAAAGTGGAAATGTTGCTACAGCGGTCGTTCGTTAAAAAATCCAGTGAATTAAATATTCATTTACATATTTGGATGAGGGCACTTCAAAGATAATTGTAGGTAAATGGCTACTTCGCCTACCGGATAAGGTGTGAGGCTGAAACTTGGCTGGAATATTCTACTCTCAAGTGCGGTCTTGATTCTGCTTGGAAGTGAAATTCTCAGCAGGTGGTTATGAGAAATATTCATCTTTACCAAAAAATCAGAAACGATTGCGTTTTGGAGCGAGCGAGTCGTAGCGCATGTGTAAGTAGGAACTCAATTTAGGTGCACGATTTCCCAACGGGCAACAAACATGCTGACAAAATTTCAGCCACTGCTTTCCCGCAAATTTTTCAGTTAGCATAGTACCAAGTCGCAAACTTTGACGCGATCGCACGCGCTGCACAAGCGTGCGCGACAACTGAATTTGAAATCTTCCGCTTGCACATGCACAGAGAATATCAGCTTTGTGCCTTGCTTTGTCCGCAAAATCGTTCACCCCCCCCCCTTCCCCGCCAAATAAGTTTGCATATTTTTTTCGGAAATCCGTACACGGGATCTAGGCGCGTATGAGCAAAAATTTTAAAACGGGAGGATGACACACGGGGTCAGTGTGTATTCAATGCTTTCGCAGAACAAACTTTTGATCAATTTTGCAGCAAATAAGGTTACTTCCTAACCCACCTTAATCAGTCCATTTCATTGAAGAATAATGCATCTTCGTGCCTTATGATATCAAAGTGGACTGACAGTCTGCCCATGAGTACTGGAACCGAAGCTGCAGCCATTTACTGACCAATTTACTGATCATGGCGATTGATTTATATGCGTTTTGTGCTGTGTAACAGCAGTACAAAACGCATATTGTCACGGATTGTCTGTATGTGTTTCCCACATTTTGTCCCGCATTTTCAACTCGGGAACCACAAAAGCTAGGCGGCTGAAATTTTGGTATAGTGTTCCCCGCCAGCGAGTAACGCGGCAAGTTTAAATTCAGTCTTCCCGTGCCCGTGGGTAACACGTACGGCTCCGTAAAAGTTTTTCGGGTAAAATCAGTATCTCGGGAACTAAGGAACCTAAGAAGCTAAAATTTTATGGGTATGTCTCCTGATCACGTTCGACCCAGAAAGCTCAAGTTCAACCTTCCTGTACCCGCGAGTAACAAGTACGGCTCCGTGAAAATTTTTGACGGGTAAATTATTATCTCGGGGACCACGGAATCCGGAAGCTGAAATTTTACAGCAATGGCCCCCTGCCTACGCTCAATCTTCTGCGCTCTCGGATATCACCTACGGGCTAGTGAAAGTTTTTATGAGTAAATTATTATCTTGGAAACCACGGGGTCGAGAAAGCTGGAATTTTAGGGTAATGACCCCCTGTCCACGCCCAACCCTGTCAATTTAAATTCAGCGTTCCCACGCTGCCGCGTATCATCTATGGGCTAGTGAAAGTTTCTTCGGGTAAATTATTATCTCGGGGACCACAAAAGCTACGAAGCTGAAATTTTAGGGTTACGACCCTTTGCCGACGAACGATCTTGCAAATGCATATTCAGCGTTCCCGCGCTCTCGGGTATCACCTCCGGGCTAATGAAAGTTTTTATGGGCAAATTATTATCTCGGGAACCACAGAATTTAGGAAGCTGAAATTTTAGGGTAATGACTCCTGCCCACGCTCAACCTTGCCTATTCGAAATCAGCTTTCCCGCGCTGCTGAGTATCACCTACGAGCTAGTGAAAATTTTAGCCGGTAAACTATTAACTCGGGAATCACGGAAAGATATTCACCCTTCAAGACTTCGAATTCCCTTTCATACGCTGGTGCGTGAAATTTTTAACTATTTTCCAATGTTTGAACTATTTTTGCATAGACTAAAGTAAAAGCAGTGAAAATCATCAATAAGCAATCGCTCGATAGACCGAACTACACAAAACGCATGACCGCACCGGTTAGTCTGGTGCGCGTTCCTATTTATTCACTTTAGTGCGCGTTGCTATTTATTCACTTTATTTCTTCCCTTGGGAGAGGAATGCTAAATGTTACCACAGCTTTTATC